GGATGGAGGGTGAAACAGGCGATGACACAAAGAACAGAGAGCTGTGATGTTTGGATCAGCACCAGGTTTCTGTGTGGATGCTTTAACAATGACACTGTTTATAATGGGAGGGGGGGATTAGAGAAAGAGAGACTGATTTAAAAACAAAAAAGGTGCAGAGAGAGAAGATGGAGGAGAGAGAATGGGAGGAAAGAAATTGAATAAAACCTAGGGGTTTTGTTTTTGTTTTTTTTCATCCAATCAAAAATAAGTGCATTCTATAAACGCTGCCATAGCTTGATATATGGCTAAACTGCATTGTAAGACGGGCGGGCTTCTGCTGAGCAGGATTGACAGTAAAAACACTTAATACTGTGACTGCAGTTTACCATTTTATTTTGTTCAGAGCAGTATATCTTTTTCTCCATAACCATATTAAACATAATAAAAAAATGTTTTTTGTTTAAGGTCTTGAATGGTTTATTAAGTGTGACAAAAAATACCGTACTAACCTGAATGACCCTCTAATATACACTAAATAATGGTGGTTTATTAGTAGTGCACCTCCTCAGTACATACAAAAATGTAAATATGCATGGTTGCTTGGAGTATTAAATGGAACTAACAGATCCAAAATAAGTGAATCTGCCATTTCTCTTTAAGTCAAAAAGAAGAAGAAACTTCTGGGCGCTCTTGTTCAGGGAGGGGAGCAACCTCAGCAACACAAACAGTAAATGTTCATCACTGCTCCTCTTTCTGCTGCTTAAATCTGCCGGAACAACAAAGTGAGGGGAGGTATTCACTGCTGCAACAATAAAGACAGGAGCCCGCCTCCAGACACACCCCTCTGTCCTCCTCGTGTGGCTGAGCTGTCACAGTGATGACATGAGAGAGGGCCAATCAGAGCACAGACTGTGTAATCAATCATCCATGCCTGCTGTGCCAATTGTCTCTGTGAAGGAGGAGGGGAGGGGGCTTCACACCCGGAGCCCCTCACCCCCACGTCCCTCCCTCGAGTCACCCCGGGTCCTCTGTCCAAAGAGGGAGTGGCAGTTCTGGTCACAAGGACTCCAGCATCCCCTTCTAACAAAGGCTGCTCTGTTTGAGCCGCTGCCGCTAGCTGCTGCCCGGCCAGCAGCTCTGGCCCCGAGCACAACTGCTGCTCTGCAAAGGCTCCCAGTCAGACCCCGCCCAGCGTCTGAACCAGCACATACAACTCTGCACTGCACAACTCAGCTTTTAGAAATATTACGTTATGGGTTTTATTTTAAATGTTCTATATTTTTCTCCTAAACAGCATGCTGAGTGGCTGCAGATGTACAATGAAATTGTAATGAAATGAAAGCCAGCATGGTGCAGGTGGAATTAGTTTTTTTGCTAGACGTATAAACTGTACAGCAGTACAGCACTTCTTGGTTTTGTCTGAATAATTTAGATAATCAATTAGTCATAATTTATCAAAAAATTAAAAAAAAAAAATAATAATTCTGGTTCCAGTTTTTCAGATGTAAAGGTCTGATGCTTTTCTCTGTCTTATATTACTGTACACTGAATATCTTTTGACTGTTGGTTGGACAAAAGAAGCAATCTGAAGACGTCACCTTGGTTCTGGGAAATCTAGAAAAATAATCGACGGATTGATCAATAACCATAATTCTTTTGCAAAAGTAATCTTAAAAGAGTAAACTTATGATCGATGCAGTAGAACCAGAAATATCACCTTTTGTATTCCACACACTCTTCTTCCTTGTCCGAACCTAGTGCCTACATTACCCACAATGCAACTTAACTATAAATACATTAGTCAGTGTTTTGGGTGTGTTACGCTAGTAGCAGCTGACATAGCTTTAGGGCTCTAGCCCCAAGCAGAGATTAGGAGCAGGCTACAGAGATCTGGTAAGCTCCCTCCTTTCTAACTCCACACCCCCAGATTTCAGACTCATTTTCAAATCTGTAGTCCTCAGCTCCAGCTGATGCTGACTCAAGTGACATCACACAGGTTATCAGAATTTATGCAGCTCCATCTGGAGCCACAAAAGGCTCTTTTCACATACATGCATACCATCCCAAAACATGTTAACTTTGTATACTTTGATATGTAAAATCAGCGCACTTCCTCTTTGATCCTTTGAAGCCTTGAACTCTGTATCTGTCATGTGAATACGGTATGTAAAGGTCAGATCCATTCAAAGCACCTAATATCTGTTTTTGAAACAAAAAAGGTTCAGTACAGGCATTTGTTTTAGTCCTGTTTGGTCAGTTATTTTAAAAGATAAAGTGTTCTTTGTTTGGAGAGAGTTGTTGCAGTATCTGAGTATACGGCTGCAATGAAATGTATCTTATCTAATCTTTTTGTTATTACTACAGCTGTACAGTAACCAGACAGACTCATAGAGGACATACATGAGTCATAAAGTCATATCCTCTCTGCTTTTGGTGTTCTTGAACTTCATATTTTGGCAGCCATGCACTCATGGCTTTTCAATGAAGGGAGGAACACACACACACACACTTGAAGACTTCAGCTGACTGCAGCAGGTCTGGAAAATGCTTTGCAGTTGTCATCTGAAAGGTGTGGCGACGGTCTGACAGCACTGATGGAACTAATGCAAATAGATTATGTGGTAATCTTCGATCTATGCCCAACAGACTGCTCTGGTGGAGCGGCTGGCCTCGCTCCAGCCCAGTACTGGCCTTATTTCATCCCAACAACTGCTTTGAAATATGCCGTTACATCATGTGCCTCATCATGACTGTCATTATCACATTACTTACAGGAGTTCGCCAAGAGACTCTGGTTCTCGAGTCGACACTTTTCACACAGGCCCAAAACTGTGCGAGCCAAGACTGAGAGGCAAAATTATCTTTTCAGAAACAATCACTCATTTTTTTTATCCTTTAAGAAGGGCTGGTTATTGGGTTACTCGATGAGGGAAAGGCAGATGATTCTGAAAAAAGTCCCACGAAAAAGGTGTTTTTTGTCTTAAATGCTTCAGTTTTGTAGCTTCAGATGCAGAAATTAACATAACAATTATTTGCCTTCCATCCAGATT